ACACAGGAACGCACATCACGTTAGACACAGAGCGAGCATCGCGTATGACACAAAATGGCTTCTATTCTCAATGTCGCAACATGGTCGCAACTCTTTTTATCTATGGCTCTGCGTCATGCCTGCGTAGGACGCCCACTGACGGTTGTAGGTACTTTTTTGTCATAGAGATATAATAATAAGCTCTATGTTTTTCGTACTCTTTTACAGCACGTGACGATCGAAGTACGTCCGCTATGTTACAATAGTTTCTGGTCAAATCCTCAATAAATCAAAACGGCAAAAAACCAAAACGGCAATACTTTTTTACCAGAACGGCAATGGACAAAACGGCAATAAGCAAAACGGCAAGACAAACAGCAATAGGCCTAAGTCAAAACGGCAATAAACCAAAATTGTTTATGAAAGTTTTCTTTAATAATTAAAACATATTTTCAATGTGGCCCCCTTAAAACCAATTATCAACAAATTGTACATGATAATACGGTAAAAATGAGGCAATTCCATACAGAGGTAAAACTTTAAAATATAGGGGAAAAATGAAGTTAAACAATTGTCATAAAAGTTAAAAAAAAAAAAAAGCGAAATAATAGCCTAAATATTCGAGATGCGGGCTTCAGATCTTTTCGAGATTAAGTCCATTTGGCTTCTATTCTACACGGTATGCAAGGTATTATACCTTCGGGATAATTGCAGTGGATTCAAAAGAACGTCATACTTTCTTTCAAATTGGGGAAAAATAACATTTATTCTAAAATTTATGTCTGAGACGTGTCATTTCCGGCAAACTAGAGCTATTATATTCATAAATTTCTCTCAGTGCTCACCTGGTGGGGATGAGGTGGTAGGCCTCCCTACTACCAATACATTTTATTCTGTAGTATTAATTGAAAGTTTGATAATTTAGTATGAAAATGATTTTAATTGTAATAACAATATTTTATATATGATTTTTGAGTGATCTGCAAATTTTAATTTTAATATTTCTGTTGCATCGGTTTCTCTGTTGGTAGGCCCACTGGAGAGCACCCAGAGAGATAGGCATTGCCCTCTTTTGACCAATCCTCACAGGTACTCACTGTAAAATTGTGTGGTCTTGTATTTTTGTATTTTTGTGTTCGTTCTTGTAAATTTTAAATTGGGACCCCTGTATTGGTAATTCCCAAATAATGTTTAATATCATGAATATAATGTATTATAGGCCTACCTATAATATTGTCCATAATTTTTAAGTACATTATTAAACTTGCTTAATTTGTACATTTATGTATTGAGTTAGGATAATTCAAAATTTGAATGAGAAAAATATTTCCCTTCAATTAACGGGCAGTAATAGGTCTAGGCCATATTCGTTTGCATAGAACCTTAATCGGCTTGTAATAAATTTCCTATACAGTAAACCATTGTTAGCAAAAACCTTTTTATCTGTATGGTTGGAAATTATAGATTCATTTATTAAGTTATTCAAAATTGTTAATCTAAATTTTGGGATTTTCTCCACTCTGGGTTGATTAAGCGTGACGAATAATACATATTCATAAACCTCATGTGACCGCCCACAAGTGACAACTTTG